CACATCTTCCTTTTATTCCTCCTATTGCTGTTCTTCAGTTGTTTCAGTCACATCTGACTCTTCATGACTGCATTTGCATTGTGTGTTTTTGTTTTTTGGCAAAGATACTGAAATTGTTTCCCATTTCCTTCTCCAGCTCATGTTACAGATGAGGCAAACAGGGTCAAGAGGCTTGCCCAGGGTTGCACAGTTAATAAATACTGAGACCAGATTTGAACTCTGAAAAATGAGTCTGACTTCAGTATCAACACTCTATCCACTGTGCCATCTAGTGGCCCTAAATCCCCCTATATATTATGCCTATATCATATAACAAATAAATCCACATTAGAGGAAAATCAAGAAAGTTATTTCATATTTACATCCTATTAAGTTAACTCAGAAGTTTCAATACTAATAACCAATTGCATGTCCTAAATCTTTATAATTCTGTTTCACTTTATAAGCTAAAGGGTTTTAATTCACACACACTTCCAATTTCTAGGCCTCAATTACAGAAATTTGCTATGAAAGGAAAAAGTGAGGCATGGTTATGATGATGTGGAGAAACCGTAACAAAGGGGAAACTCCCATAGCTAGCTTTTAATTCTAGGCAAAAGGAACAACTAACAGCCAATTAAAGCTCTACATTTTTCAGAAAGTGTCAAAAACCAGACTCAAAATTATCTAGGTGGGAAATTTTTCTGTTAAGAAGAAAAGTAACTCATTGGGACAACAAATCAGTGGGATCCTATCTTCACCCTCACAAGGTCATCCCCTCAACTTTCTCCCAGGGGCAAATATCTACCTACTTCCATGCCTACCACTCTGCTGACTGAGCCATCTAGGTGCCTAAGAGAGTCAAGGATGACACATAGGTTGTGAGCTTGGGAAACTAGGAAAATTATGGTTACCTTAAACAATAATAGGAAACTTAAGAAGTAGGTGGATTTAGGAGGGAAAAAAATGAATTCCATTTTGGACATGTTGAGTTTAAGATCCACTTTGAGAAGTCCAACAGGCAATTAGAAATGTGAGACTGGAGGTCAGTAGAGAGGTTAAGGATGAATGAGTAGATCTGATAATCATCAGCATGGAGGTAATAAGTAAATGCATGGGAGCTGATAAGATCACAAAGTGAAGTAGTATAAAGGAAAAATGAAAGAAGACCCAGATTAAAGCCTTGGACTAGCCCAATATGAGCTAGTGTGACCCAGATGAAGACCTAGCAGAAGAGAATGAGAAAGAGAAGTCAGATAAACAGGAGGAGAACCAAGGGAGAGAAGTATTATGAAGATGTAGAAAAAAGAAAGCATCAAGGAGAGGTGGGTGATAAATAGTGTCAAGGGCTAAGAAAAGTCAAGAAAGATGAAGACTGAGAAAAGGCTATCACTACATTTGGAAATTAAGAGATAATTAGTAACTTTGGAAAGAGAGGTTACAGTTGAATGATGAAGATGGAAGTCAGAATGTAGAGAGCTAAGAGAGTCAAAGGAAAGGAAGTAGGAGCACCATTTGTGGGTGGCCTTCTCAAGAAACTTAGCCATAAAAGGCAGAAACAATTTCAAACAATAACTAGCATAGATTCAGATGGATGGATTAAGTGAGAGGTTTTGAGGATAGGGGAGGGATGGGCATGTTTCCAAGCAGTAGAAAACTAAGAGGTAGACAGGAAGAAATCGTAGATAAGGGAGAGAGTAGGAGTGATTTAGGGGGAAGTCTGCTGGGAAAGACAGAAGGAAAGAGGATCCTTGTGTATGTAAATGAGTTTGTCTTGGACGGGATAAGAGCCACTTCATTATGTGAGGCAAGGGTGAAGGAGACAATGGTGACAGAAAGCATCTGGGTGATGTGAGATAAAGAGGAGGAGAGATGAAGGAGCTCTTGGCAAATAGCATCAATTTTTTTTTCAGTAAAATATGAGATTCTCATCTGAGAGGTGGGGTTGGAATGCAGTCAATAGAAATTTGAAAGGGGGGATAAAAATTTTGGAAGAGCCACCATGGTTAGTAAGATAGTGAGCTAATTAGGAAGCTATAAAAGGATTACCTTGCAGCAATGAGGATCTAGTAGAAGTTATGTAAACTCAATTTGTACTGGACCCAGTCAGCAGGGACTTGAGATTATCTCCAATTTTGTTCAGCAGTACATGTGTAAGAAAGAAGGCAGGGTATGGAAGGAGTGATTCAAGGTAGAGGCTTGACAGGGTAAGATCAGCAATATAAGGGGGCAAAAGACACAAGAGAAGAAGACAGTGTAGAGTTGAATTGATTTACCAAGAGATTAATAAGGGGAAAGGAAAGTAATGTAGTAGGTATAAGGGTGATGGTCTGAGAAAGAATTCAGGTGTGGAGATATTGCAAGTCTAGATATGGAGGAAGAACAGAGTTTGGGATTTCAAAGCAGAGGGAGAGGTGGAATGACAGTAGATAGTGATCAGATGAGGGAATTTCAGAGTTAATGAATATGGAAGTAGTACATATTTGTGGTGGATGGAAAGATAAAGGTTATCTTTGTGTGTGGCTGAGATAGGTTGGAGGAGTAAATTATAGGAAGTGAATAAGTTGAGAAACTATGAGGTTAGGGTCTTCGAGGGAGTAATATGTTTGTTGGAGTAGACTATTATGAGGGACAGGAGTTGGGAAGGAGAGAAGACTGTGCCAGGCACTGAGCTCATTGAGGAAGAAAGGAAAGAAGGAAGGGAGGAAAGAAGGAAGGAAGGAAGGAAGGAAGGAAGGAAGGAAGGAAGGAAGGAA